ACGTGTCTCTGTGCCTTGGCTGATCAGGGGCATGTCTGCCTCAATCTGATCCTGGGACGTATTCCCATCCTTGGCCTTTAGTTCAGGAAAATGCCTGTTAGAGCCCCATTGGGTAGGTGTGCCAAGCAAAACAAAGATGTGGGTATAGCATGATCTGGCCTCTTGTTAGTTGTACTCCAGCGAGCTTGGGCATCAATAGCAGTGAAGACAGTGAATCAGAGTACAAGGCCTTCATGGGGCCTGGGTACATCTCCTGGTTGCTAGGCTGTGTTCCTGTCTCTTTGCAGCTATGGGTGCCTGAGCTGGATGGATTAACACTAGCCCAAGGATGCTACTGTCCCCCACTCTGCTCTGATGCATAAGTGCACATGCACAGTGTCTGTGTGTACATGTGGACACTTGTCTGAAGCTAAGCCATAACTTGATCTCACCCCCGCAGTCAGCAGGAGTTATGCTGATCCGAGCAAGGACACAACTGGACTTCGTGCTTTCTTTGGTATTCTGTGAAATGCGACTATTGCGTCTCCATGACCCAACTGGCCCTTTTCCCCATAGTGATCTAGCCCAGCAGGCTTCTAGGCCAATAAGCTACCACAGGAAGCTAAAAGTGACTATCAGCCCATCAGGCCCTGTGCTCTGGTCTGACTTGTCCTTTTTGTGGTGAGGTTTCTAAGAAGTGGAGCAGCAGTTGAGGAGTGTTTACTGGAAGGGTGGGCCCCAGTCAGCCCAAAAGTGCGGGCCAGCGTGCTGTGATACTGCAACCGAGCACAGCTCCCTTTCAGCAGCTATGAAAGAATATATCAATGCAAGGGGTCATAGCCTTTCTTCTCAAAGCTACAAAGGGGGTTTCGGTTTAGCACAAAGAGGTTTACAGACCATCCGGTGAGAAGACACAGCCAAGAGAGAGAAAAAAAAACTAACCACATATCAAAATAACCCCAAGCCTTGAAAACATTTGGATCCAAATTTCTTTATTCAGTGCCCCCGCTGAGCGAGAAGGCAGAGATGTACCTGGAAAGTAACTTGGGTTAATAACCTCAGAGAGCTTTAGACACCCTTTAAAGATGGCATTTTGTAGATGAGGAAAGCAAGGCACGGACAAAGCTAGCTAGCTCGGGTCACACAGCAAATAGCCAACAGAGCAGGAATAGCACTCACCTGCCCTACAGTCCAAGTCTCAGGGCACTGCCAGTTCTTATGGGGTGGTAGGTACCTTGCTGGAGATGAACTCCTGAATTAAGGTTTGGGCTGGTAGTGAAGTGAGAAAGTAAAATGGCTTGGCACAGTACTAGTTGGCAGGTTTTTAGAGATGCACTGTGCAAAGTGCTCACGGCTCTGATCCTTTGCTCAAGATCAAATCTCAACAGCAAAATGTGCAGGGTGAAACTCAGGAAGGAAAAGAAACAGTAAAGTCATAAAAGCCTCTTGCCAGGAGGATAAGAAGCAAGGGGAAGGGGAAAGGGAAGAGGAAGAGGAAGAGAAAGGGGAACCCCCCCTCCCCAACACACACACACATACATGACCCACATAGCAGAGTGAGCCAATTCTTAGTCCTCTAGACCTCCCCACACTCCCTCGAGAGCAGGCATCTAAGATTTCTAGAACTGAAAGACGGGGCGGATGTGTTGCACTGTTCACAAGGAAGCTAAAAAGAACCCTTGCAAGATGCATGGTTCGTGGGATCGTAGGAAGAGGAAAGGGACCTCACAAGGTTATCTAGTCCAGCCCCATGCTCAAGGCAGGATCAGCCCTGACTCAGCCACCCCAGCTGAGTATCTGTCTAATGACTCATCATTTTCTCTTGTTGGAGCTCACTCTCCATAACTCTGCCTTTGAAGTGTCTTCCAAGAGAGAAAGAGCTTTGCAAATAATGGACCAGTTCCAATAACACCTCTCTGAAGACAGCACTAGCACACAGGCAGGTGCGTGGAAGTAGTGATGGTTCAGATGCTTTCAGGTTTCTGCCTGGTCTCGCATATCCTTCTCAGCCCTAGAAATACCTCACCGCCTTCCCTGAAACCTCTCAGCCCAGACACAGTACTTCCAGCGGATCTTGGACAGTGATTATTAAGAGGAACAGGTGATGGGGCAAGAAGCCATGCACATAGCCCAAGAACCTACTAGTGTGTTTCACTGCAAATGGCAGCATGAGATGGGCAGGAGAGATCCCAGCTCCACGATAAACAAGGAAAGAAGGGTTTTAAAATGAGTCAAAGATGCTGAAGAACCATGCACTGGCTGGCAAAGAACTCGTTTGGAGGGACAGGATCTCCAGTTAGGGCATGCACAAAGTTGCTGGTATGTCAGTGCTGCACAAAGCTACGATTCATGTTGAGGAACTCGCCTGCCGCTGGTGCCCTGAGGGAGGCTTCCATCTAACAATGGGAGAATAAAAGAAAACCCCATAGTATAGTCAAACTATAGCATGAAGGATGGAAGACAGTGGAGCTCTTCCAACACTAGAGAGCAAATGCCCCTGTACCTGTGCTCCGATTAGTGTCTGAAGACGGTGTAGCCTTTTGGATTAGTCAGATTTATGAGCCCACACTTAGCAGCATTTCCCAAAATGGACACATGATGAGGTATTACAGCTGGAGAGACAGGACGGGTGTTACTGGGTTCCCCAACAGGGTGTTAACAGCCAGTGTGTTGTGTGCAATGCATTTCGCCACCATTTAATCTTTGATGTTTACCTGCTTTGCTCTCACGCACATTCCCAATTACATGCAGGCATTGTGCCTCTGGTATGGAGCAAGGGTGAAACAATACATGCCTCACCCACCCACCCACATCTGAGCTCTCCCAAGCACGCACCCGGGAACAGCCAGAACCAAACTCTCTGGATGTGGGCAATACAGCTGGCTCCTTTGAAACCGAAGCAACTGCAGAAGTCAGGCTTGAAAAAAGCCAAATCCAGACCTGGAGGCTGGGCTGCCCTCTCTAACTGCAGCTACTCATCTCCCGTTTTGAGCGAGACATTCACTTTGGGAGTGCTCTTGGAGTCGATATCACGTAGCAAGAACCTCCCAGGCTCAGCGTGCTCTTCTGTTTAGTGCGTTGTGAAGCCGTCAGCTCTATTCCACTCCAAAGAAGCAAGGCCTCCAGTTAGATCAAGTAACTTATTTTTATTTAAAACCGCATGTATAAAAAAAATAGGATTTCTGAATTCCCCTGTACAATATTAACTATTAACAAAAACCAGCTGACTACACACTGATAACATATACAGGCTTGACAGTGTTGAAGTCCAGGGTACTTTCCCCAACAGCTCAGCTAGAACAGTGCTATATACACATGCGCACATGACAACCCCAGACCCTAGACAAATACCCGTGGAAACTCAATTTAAAAACTGAACACACGCGTGGAAGAGGAACATCCGCAGCCGGAACTATTTACAGATGGCCGCGAAGCGGTGGGCCGCTCCACACAGAGGCGAGACACTGAACAGAGCATTCCCCAGGCAGGCTGTCTAAGCCAGCCAAGGAGGAATAAAGAAGGGGATCCAACTGGAAACCAGATCAGCAGCTGTTAGCGTGAGGTGTGGGCTGGGGACCCACATGATTCATAAATAAATAAATAAAAGTTATCCTACAGGTTAGGACACTGCCTTAAAAAATCCCCAAAAGAACAAGAAAAGAAAGCCCTACACATGAAAATAAATTAAAAACAAAACAAAACGAAAAACACAATGTAAAAGCGTCCCCGTTCTACGCTACACTCCTCTGTACACCATATTTTGCTCCTGTAAAATTCTGTACACATTTACAGCTTGGTTGGGTTGCATTGTTTGTGCATTTGTGAGGATGCCTCGGCTTTTGAGACACAGTAAGCAGAGAGCCAAGGAAGAAAGATCACTCTAGACAGCACACTGAGGAAGTAACTAGCTGGGGGGGAGGGAAGAGTTGGTTTTGTCCCCCCAGCTTCTTCTGATCCATTCTTTAAAAAAAAAAAAAAAAGAAAAAAAAGAAAAAAAAGGAAAAAAAGGAAAAAAAGAAAGAAATAAAGAAAGGGAAAAAAAAGAAACTAAACTAAACTCAGAAGCAGCAGTGTAGGAAGATTTCAAGTATTTCCTCCAGCACAGCCCAGATTACAACTGAAGGCACTCAGAATACGGTGACAAAAGACATCTATTCAAATCAGTACCTTCCCTCCCCCCTCCCTCCCCACAGTCAGTCTCCCCAGTTGAAACTCTCTTGCTAATTCTCAGGTCCTCTCTGTTCATATTCCAGGATTCAGCAGGCCAGGCACACGCAGCCAACGTGCCCATAAGACATCAAAAAAAAAAAAAAAAAAAAAAAAAAAAAAAAAGTTTACTGGCAAGAAATCAGGTGATATAGGACTTAACAATTTCAGTCCAGTACCCCAGGGATGGAAAAGTAGTTCCAGGTCCTCAGAAAATTCTCCAGTTAACGCAGCACTGGAATGAGACCTCAACGTTCCCTTGCAAAGATCCCCGCTCAGCGATACAGTCATAGGTGAGAGTTTTGCTTTTTCCACTTGCTGGATGACAGGAGCTGCTATTTGCTTGACTCCTGAATGAGGCTGTGCAGGTGGATCTCCGCAGTCTTCTGTGGCAAATGGACCGCCTGCATCCACGAATGGTTTAGAATGTCTTCGAAAGATGGCCTGTCTGAGGGTCTCAAGGCCAAACACCATTTAATGAGATGCTGGCACTCTGGGGAAAGAAAATACAAGCAAGCTGTCAGCAGGTGGCTACTATTCACTAGTGTCTGTAAACTCTCCAAGCCTCCCTGTTTACCTCTGCTTTGGGATCTGCCCTCTTACTTCATGGGACAGAATACCCAGGCCTGGTTTGAGCTGCTCTTATCTACGTGCTAGCATAGCGGAGACTCAGATAACACATGGATGCATGCAAGTCTATTAGCACCCACCTGCCCCTGACATTTATACTCTTCCATCTTACAACAAAATTAGCGCGTCCTCTGCTGGGGAACGTATTAAGATACATAGTGATTCAATTCAGCGTCTTTGGGCTATGTATGCTTTCTGAAAGTCTGCTGAGCAGTCCACTGCCCATAGCCACATTAATTGGGCCAGCAAGTGGTAAGAAAGTTGAGTGCTGGAGAGGCTTAAGTGAATTATGACACTGAAGCAGCTGTCCAAAGCTGAGAAAGCAGCAAGGCTCCCAGCACTCTGCGGGGAATCAATACTTCTGCGCGGCTCCCTGAAGGCATGAAGGGATGCACGTTTATGGCATCACAGATTATCCCTGAGCGACTGCTGCATGCAGGGTAAGCAGCTGGCTTCCCTCCCCTAGCACAGTGGGGAGCACTCACCTGGTGAAATCCTTTGCCGGAAGTAAACCTGGCCCCTCACAATCTCCTCATCATGTTCAAAAGGGATGTCCCCACAGACCATGTCGTAAAGCAGGACGCCCAGTGACCAAACTGCGGCTGATCTGCCATGGTACCTGTGGTAGCGAATCCATTCTGGGGGGCTGTACACTCTTGTGCCTGCAAGACAAGAGCAAAAACTCGCCATAAGGAAAGTGTTTGGTCTAAGCCTAGGGATCAGAACAAAACAGGAATGATCAAAAGCCGACTGAATTAATCAATGGCATGCATGTGGCTTCAAGACAGCAAGTCAGGTAGCTGAAGCTCCAGGCTTTAGGTTGCAATAACTCAAGTGTGAAGCTTCAGTACAGGTAGTTTGACAGTGCAAAGCTCCTGGTGACTGCAGGGCTGTGCTTAGGAACATGGCCCCAAAGTGAAGCAGGACCAAACAAAACACAAGCAGCAACCACACTTTCCAGCTTTAATGGACTTGAGACCCTTAACTGCATCTCCTGAAGCCAGACTGCCAATGCTTCAGTCCAGTCACCCAGCATCCCAGGGTTGAGACCTCATCTACTGCATCAAAAAAGGGATCCAGGCAACCTTTCAATCAGTTCTCCATAAAAGGCTCTGCTGGGCAAATATGGCAATATCATTTACATCCCAGAGAGGAGGAGGCCTGCTAGACTGTATAGCAGCCTACCCCATAAAAGGGAATACAGTCAGCCGCATGTGAGGCCAGCCCACTCCTAAGCCATGAAGTAAGGTTTGTTGTTCAACATCAAGGGAGCAGTTTCGCCCGGGCAGGCAAGCAGTTTGTAGTTGTGCATGTGATAATTAGAGCTGGGCTCGAATTCCAGCCTGCTTTGCTGCTGCAGAGGCTTACACCCTTCGCCTTTTGTTGTATCTGATCTCTTCCCTTCTGGCAGGAAGAGGAGACTGAGGTCAGAGCTGCTAGTCTGGTTTCTGGCCACGTGACTCTTGTTTACAAACTTTCGGTTGTAAAAAGATCCCCGGTGCCCCGCCAGGGGGCATCACCAGCTCGAGAAATTCCGCGGGAGGAAGAACCCAGCCCTGGTCATTAACCGTTACATTAAAAACAAAAAATGCAGCGCAGGCCAAGCCATTTGAAGAGGCAGGAGCAAAACAAACCCCAGGCAACACGCGGGGGTTTTGCAGATCAACCGCCCTCCGCCGAAGAAGCCGGAATACACGGTGGAATAATTTCCTACGTCACCCACCGGGCAAGCCCGAGCCCAGGCTCAAAGGTCAAATGCTTTTCCCCACTAGCCACGCTCTCCACCCCCCCAATACAAAAAGGGCAAAGGCCCGGGTGCCTTTCTGCGGCAGAAAGGGAGCCGGCTGTAAGCAGATCTCCCTCAGCTCCAATTTCACAACATTCATCCCCGACAAAAAGCAACTTTCCAGCGAAATGAATAATTTAGCGAGATGGCGGAGGCGGCAGCTTCCTTCTCCTCGTGGCCCCCCTCCCCATATTGAAGGCCATCCATCACTGGAAGGAAACAGCACGAGAGCCCTTTCTCTCTCTCTCAAGCCTGGGAGAGGAAAAACAATATCCTCTCCCTCGCTTTCTAGCTGCCAGATGAGGTTAGGATCCGAATCAGAGCAGCATGGCTGCAGACAGGTTTTCACTCAATCTTTCCCCAACCTACACTACAGGAGAGATGGACCCGGGGGCCGGGGGGCGGGAAATGGGTCCATCAGGACCAAACCGAGCCCCAGACTTCAACTTTCTCCATCCTCAGGGCTTGCAGAGGCATCAGCCTGCCAGCAAGTTCAGCCCTGGTCTCTGCCATGTTGCCCAAGGAGACACAGCCCCTGCGTGACAGGCAGCCACCACCGATGTCTGGCATGACGCCTAGCGAGAAATGTTATGTGGGGACAGGGCAGGGAGACAAGCCTGAGAGGTCTCGGAGAGGCGACGCTTCCAGCAAAATAGATTTAGCCGATAACCACGCCAGCACGGAGAAAGCGAGCTCATTCCCCGGTTGGGAAATTACTGACTAGGCAGGGGGAGGGAACAACCCGTTTCTAAGAGGAATTTCCCCGGCTTCCTCTCTACGCAGGTAAAACATGAGGGGGATGGAAAGAGTCTCTCACCGTCGAAATCAGTGTACACCGTGTCCTTGAGCAAGGCTCCGGACCCAAAATCGATCAGCTTCAGTTCTCCGCTGTTCAGGTCAATGAGGATGTTCTCGTCCTTGATATCCCGGTGCAGGACCCCGCAGCTGTGACAGTGCCGGACGGCCTCCAGGACCTGGCGGAAGAAGCCGCGGGCCAGCTCCTCGGCCAGGGCCCCCCGCTCCGTGATGAAGTCGAACAGATCCTGCACGGGGTCGGGCCGCTCCAGCACCAAGACAAAGCTGTCGGGCCTCTCGAACCAGTCCAGGAGCCGGATCACGCCGTGGAAGCCGGAGCCCACCTTCTTCAGCAGCAGGATTTCCATGGGCACGCGGGTGCCGCCGGGCTAGCACAGAGAGCAGAGAGCTCGTCAGCACGGGCGGGAGGGGTCAGCGGCCGGCGCCGCGCCGTGCCAGGCAGCCCCGGGGTGCTGGGCGCCCTCGTCTCCCCCAC